GGCTTCCGCCTGCCAATGTCAAGTTCATTGTCGTTTTTTCATTCATGCTTCAGACACCAGTCACGCTGAAGGCGCTGACAGCGTGCCCTCTAGAGGATGCAGCGTCTCGTTCCCTATTCTCAGGGAATCATGGTTACATGCGTAACATGCGTAATATGATCTTTTAATGCAACTTTTTTTAATGCCCACAGTCAGCTTAAATTTGTCTGAACAATCACATTTGTTGTTAGATAGTAATGAGTTTAAAATGCCTAGCTCTCAAAATGGTGCTATCTGGTGTAAACGGTAGCATCACTAATCTCAGAGTGTGACTTTGAATGTCACTGTAAATTTAGTTGTGATTTGCGTGTGCACGCTAAGCCTGGATCCACTCACAACACTAGTGTTAAAGAAGGCTGAGATGTTGAAGATCTTATCCAGATGAAGAGCTGAGTAAATCCCTCTGTTGTCCTTACAATTACTGCAAAAGAAGAGAGAAAAAGGGGGGAAATCAAACCTTACTCTATTTTATTATGATCAGACTTTCATTTCAGACTTTTAATTCTCTGCTGCCATCTGCTGGACTATTGAAGGACGAAGACAAATCTATTGTAAAATGGCTCAGAAAAGTTAGTTCAGAGAAAATGTGTAATTTGTTTGCATATTTGATTCAACATTTAGTTTTTAATACACTACAATTTATATATTTGTCCAAATATTTTTTTTTGCCAAAAAACCTTGCACTTACAGCACCAATACTTAACAGCACTATTATAGAGTAATATAATTGTTTATTTTTTATTTATTAGATATACATAACAAGGTTACCTGTAGAGAGAATATGCTGTAAGGTCCATCTCAGGGTCATTGTACAGGTATCCTGGTATGAAGTTTCTCCAAGCAGAGTTGATCAGCTTGGGTGTATCTAACACCTACACACAACATAATCACACTGTATCTCGTATTGTTTGGTGAATTTATTTGTCTTTCAACATGTATACAATGGGTGCCGAATGCCTGAGACAACTAGTGAAAATTAATTACAAATTATATCATCCACATGAACATTAAAAATATAATATAATATATACACAATTTATTAATACCAAAATGTTCAAATAATATTTTAATATTTATTATTATTTTATTTTAATATGGGGAAATACTGAATCAAAAACAGAACATTAATTTTAGAATGTCTTACTATTTGGTTTGTCAATTGTTTTACTGACAGCAGCACTCGAGCTGCATAAACTCAGAATTTCATGTAAAGCCCTATGATCATGTTCTCCAGCATGATTTGAGATGATCGATACATCATCTTGTGCTTTAATGAAAGCAAAAACTTCTGACATTGTGTCGTTTCTCTTACCTTAAACAGCTGTCGGGTTTGAAAGGGTTCACACACAAGCTTTTCTAGATTCCCACCCACCAAAAACAGAGCTGCTATCACTCCCATGAGCACCCAGGAGAACAGGAAGCTGAAGCCCACACCACTGAGAGACAGAGGAAGAGTGCAGTGTGAATGAGTGCAGACAAAGCTGTCTTATAACACATCCATTTGATGGGTTTGAAGACTGACGTAAAAACTCAAACTCACGACATGAGCAGGTTGCCTCCTGTGTTAGAGACACAACCACGTGTTGTTGGAGTTGCGTGCCTGTTGAATCCCAGAATACCACACAACAAACCCAGAAAATTGAAGGCGAGGATGAGCACAACCATACAGCACAGGGTAATACAACAGATCCACCTGAAAACAAAAACATTATGAACAACATCAAGGGCACATGGAAGACTTTTTGCCTCGAAAACAAGGACAATAAAGTTTGTGACTAGTTTTTGTCTAGTCGAGTTGAGTCCTTTGAAGCACCTGTAGAAATCCATCTGATCAACTTGAGGGTAGATGTCCTCGATCTGTGAGTGTGTGTGAGAGATCATTTTGGTGAAGTTGGTCAAAGAGCTGTGAACCAGGAAGAGCTTGCTGAAAGTGGTGATGTTTGATCCAATGTCGTCCAGCAGAACCTTCACCCCTACAGGAGACACAACAGTATTAGAAAATGCTTTAGTGCAGATTCAGTGACATTTTTTTTTTTTGTGAAAAGCACATTTCATCATCTATGCTATTCACTGAAAATTGTGTCTTATTGTATGTGCCCTGGTAAGCAAAGCAAAGGCGACTGTGGCAAGGAAAAAAAACTCGATAAAAGCCCATCCTCCTCAGGCCTTGCAAGGAATGTGCATATGCTAAATATTACGATACAAGTCATATGTTCTTTAAATCAATTAAATGATTACATATGACACTATGTTAGTAAGGCAATGTTTAAAGGGGTCATATGATGCTGCTAAAAAGAACATTATTTTGTGTATTTGGTGTAATGAAATGTGTTTATGCGGTTTAAAGTTAAAAAAACACATTATTTTCCACATACTGTACATTATTGTTTCTCCTCTATACCCC